TTTCTATATTCTTTTTACTCTATTTGATTACATCCTTCTTTTCATTAACATTTATAGTCAAATCTCTCATCATTATATTCTATATTTCTTTGTTTTTTTTTTCTTTCTACTTCTTGTTTTTCTTATCCATTTCATTTTGAAACACCATTCCTAACAACAATAATCTTAAAATATATTATTTCTTTCATAATTATTGCTCATAACCTTCTTTCCTTATTGACACACTTCTATTTTCAATATTATTAATTTTTTAGTTTATTTAAATAAATTATTATATACTTATTAATAAAAATACGAAAAAGAAGAAGAAAAGGAAAAGATATATCATTGAGATTATTATTTATAGACATAGAACAAGAAATGAAATAAACATCAAAAAATAAGAATAAATAAAGAAACTAAAAATATATTAATTTTTTATTTAATTAGGATATTATTTTAAAAATAAAATTAATGAATTAAATAGTATAGAAGTATTATATAACCATATCACCAACTTAAATCAATTAAATCAATTACTATAATTGTAGAGAACGAATTTTTTGTTTACTAAAATCAACACGTAAAGTCATTATAAGTTTTATTTCTAAAGACGAGAGTTTCCATCCTTTAACAGAACAATATTTAGTAATATCTTCAATTTGATCAAGACATAATACTGTAGATGTTTGTTTTAATTTTTCAAAACATTGAAGTGGAACTCCATAACTTTTAAAGAGACTTTGAATTTGTTGTAACTAAAAGAGTAAATACTAAGAAGTATTATAAAATATAAAAATAAACCAAACATCTTTCATAAATTCACAAGCTCCAAATTGAGTAAATGTTTTTTTTCTTACAAGAAATTCAAGTTGTTTGACTATATAATCTGTACATCCACTAACAATATTTTTTTGTGTTTGTTTTTCTAGTCCATCCTAATATAATATAAATAAATGGCTTATCTCCTTTCAAATAAAATAGAAACAAACAATTTTTGTGTCTACAATTTCTTTAATCTTTTGAATAAATAATTCCATTGAATAAATATTTTTTGTAAGATCATCAGTAGGTTCAACTTTATAATTAATTTCTTCAACACTTTTAAGAGGTTGTTTAAATAAGTCATTGAATGTTAAAATATATTTTTTTATTGTTTCATGTAATAATGATGAAGATTGTTCAAGATTTTTATGATATCCAAGAAGTTCATAAGATAAATTTAAATGATATCTTTCATTGATTAATTGAATTGATTGAGCTGTTGTAGTTATGATAAGACTTAAATTATTATTAAATTGAACTAATGAATTTATTTGTTGAATTGATTCTAAATTAATTTTTTTAAGAGTCTAAAAAGAAATGAATATAAGAATGGTAATAAAGAATTAACAGAATAACAAACAATATAAAATGAAGATATATAAATTTCACAACTATGAATAAACGTTTGAATAATCATTGAATTGTTTGAAAGAAGTCCATTATTTAAAATACTTGAAACCGAGAAAAAAAATTCATCTATTTGTTGAAGATAATTAATTTCACTTAAATGTTGTGATATCGATGTAATGATAAATTCAAGATGTTCTTCTTCAACTTTCATATATTTTGAAATTAATTTTGATTTTGTATCTCCATATTCTTTAAATAATTGTGATGTTTTAACTATTTCAAAATGTTCTGAATTCTCAAATTCACTTAATGAATGAATTGCTTTAACTACAGAATTAATATTCCATTTATCAGTTAATGATAATTTAAGTGATTCTTTTAAAATATCATTAATATTTTTAATAAAATCATCAGTAATACTAATTAAACATTTTGTTGATACAATAAGAGGTTGTTGTGGTAATGACGGTTTTATTATTGTTTTAAATGATTCTTCTAAAGTTATAATGATATTACTTTGAATTATGCTCTTTAAAGAAATAAATAATAGAACAATTTTCTCAATAGCGTCTTCTCCTTTTTCATAACGTTGTTTTTGACATTCCGCATTAAATAATATATTATAGTACGTTTCAATCATTTGACAAACTGTTAACCCTTTAACAAAAGCTACAGCAACCATAAGTATATTAAATAACTCAAAATTAATTTCTTTAAATGTTCTTCTTGATGCAAAAAGATCTAAGGAGGTATTTAATGTAATTTCTAATGTATCTCGTTGTTGTTGGTCTATTCTTTGAAATAATGATAGTTGAGGAGATTTTAATAATGATAATAATGAATTTACTGTAGGTCGTTTAAGGGTGTCAAGTATTTGGTTGAGTTGATTGTCTGTAA